TTTTCCCTTCAGTGTACAAGCCAAAGTCCTCTGACCAATAAGTCTCTAAAAATGATCCCTAATCCCTCCCCCAATCTTCTACAGCTTCTCTCCTTCACTCTCTCTTCCAGGTTGGCTAAGCATCTTGCCCTTTCTTGAGCTTGTCAGGCACGTTCCTAACTCAGCTCTCACATAGATGTTCTTCCTTCAGAAATCTGCATATCTTGTTCCTTCACTTCCTTCATGTTTTTACACAAATGTCATTTAATCTACATTTTCGACCCTGTCTAAAATTGCAACCTTTATATCCCATTCCCCTGCTTTAATATTTTCCCAAGAACCTAGTACCTAACATGAACATGGTAAATTGATTTGTTTTTTCCAGTAGAACCTAAGTTCCATGAGGTCTGAATGTCTTACTATTTTGTTTACCGTAAACTCAGCATTTATTTTTTTCAAAGATTTATTTATTTGAGAGAGAGGGAGAGAGAGAGAGAGCACAAGCAGGGGGAGGGAGAAGCAGGCTCCCAGCGGGGAATCTGCTTCTCTCTCTACCCCTCCCCCTGCTTGTGCTCACTCTCTCTCATGCTGTCTCTGTCTCTCTCAAATTAAAAAAAAAAAAAAAAAAAAAAAAAAACCTTTCAGAACCATTTCTCTTTATTATTCTGAAAATGTAGTTTTAATCACTAATATGAAATAATATGAGGATAAAAGTTCATGACAAAATTTAAAATGGTGAATTATGTCCTTGAATTACAACCAAATGGTGAGATCCTTCTCAAAGGCAATTTTCAAAACAAAACCTTCTGATTTCCTCTATTATGTAAAGCTTAGAAGTTGCCAGTCTGTCCTAACAACAGTGAAAAAGCTGAACAAACTAAAAAGTCGACATTTCTTCTTAGACTCATAAGAGAAGTGAGGTACCAGAGCAGACTGCTGCCCACTCCCCTACCCTCGCAAATTGGAGAGACACACATATAAACGATCACTACTTACCAAGCAGAAACCTATGAGCAGATATTCCACAGGAACCATGCCAGGATAGGAAAACCTGAGCAGCAATTGTCAGAATTGCTAACATCTCAGTATGGAAAAGTCTGAGAATTAAAAACTCCAGGGGAACACAGAAGAGAGCCCCATACTTTGTGTTTTTTCCTCCAGGAGCCTAACTAGGTGCTCACGGTGAGTATCTGAGAAAAACTCCCTCATGCTTCTGGCAGGGGAAAAGCAAAAGGAATCGTTTTGAATATTCCAGAGCATTCTTTTTTTTTTACTTAACAAGGTCTGCCCTCAGAAGAAACTATTTAACTAGAGCCTAACCTGCTGGGGCTTATCAGAGCCTAATTGACTTGAGGGACAGGAAATACTCAGCTCCAGCTGGCTGTAGTCTTCAACAAAGAGGCAGGGAAATATCCAATTTCCAACAGAGAGAAGGAAAATATTCAACTTCAGTTTGTTCTAGCCATCCTGTCCCACTCAGGGCTGGGGGGTGGGGGAGGGAGGGAAGATAAGAAGCATGTGTGAACTACACAGTGCAGGGCATAGACTCACTAAAAGACCTACTCATAGTACTATAAAAAGCTTCCCTTTCTCCCAAACCACCATATTACTAAAAGCTTAAGTAAACACTTCGTTCTTCCAGTTTCTTCTCCCAACATCATGTCTGACAATCCAGGAAAACATTTACAAGATGTTCTAAAAGGCAAAAAGCACAGCCTGAAGAGGGAGAGCTAGCCTTCAAACCAAACTCAGTTATGGCAGAGATGTTGAAATTATCAGACCAAGAACATAAAACAACTATGTTAAGAACTCTAATGGAGAAAGTAGACAGCATCCAAGAGCATATGCACAATAGAAGCAGAGAGATGGAATTCTAAGAAGGAACCAGAAAGAAATCCTAGAGATCAAAAACACTTTCACAGAGATGGAGAATGCCTTTGATGAGCTCATTAGTCAACTGGCCACCGCAAAGAGAAAACATCTGTGAACCTGAAGCTATCTCAATGGAAACCTTCATAATTAAAAAGCAAAAAAAAAAAAAAAAAAAAACCAAAAAAACAAAAAAACAAAGACTGAAAACAGAACATCCCCAAACTGGGCCTACTACCAAAGTTGTAACATATGTATAATGGGAATATCAGAAGAGGAAGGAGGAAGAAATATTTGAAATGATGACTAATAATAATATCAGATACTAAACAACAGATCCAGAAAGCTCAGAGAGAACCAAGCCTGCTTGGTTAAATGTTAAGAAAACTATACCTGGGCATATGATTTTCAAATTACAGAAGAGTAAAAATAAGGAAAAAATATCCTGAAAGAAGCCGGAGTGGGGGAAGAAAACCTCACCTATAGAAGAGGAAAGCTAAGAATTATGTCCAACTTCTCTTCAGAAACCATTCAAGCAGGAAGAGTGGAATGAAATATTTAAAATGTTGAGAAAAAAAAAACCCCACCAGCCCATAACTCTGTACACTGCAAAATTATCCTGCAAAACTGAAGGAGAAATACTTTTTTAAGACAAAGAAATATTAAGAGAACTTTTTGCTGCTAGACTAGCCTTTAAAAAATGTGAAAAGTTCTTTAGAGAAGAAAATAATATGGGTCAGAAACTCAGGTCTATAGGAAGAAAGGAAGGCATTAGAGAAAGAATAAGTGAAGGTAAAATACAAACTTTTACTTATCTTATTCTTAATCTAACACATATTTTATCTAAAACAATAACAGCAACAATATATTCAATTTGTGTGTGTGTAGTGAATGAATAACAGCAATGATACAAGAGATAGGAGGGCAGAATTAGGATTGCTTTGTCATTACATGGGACTTGTGCTACCTGTGAAGTGATAGTTATTTGAAAGTAGACTGGGTTAGTTGTAAATATATATTGCAAACACTAGTCTACCACTAACAAAGGAGAAAACATGGAAATATGACCAATATGCTGAGAAAGGAGAGAAAGTGGAATCATATAAAATGCTCAACTAAAGCCACAAAAGGCAGAAAAAGAGTGGAAGACAAAACTAGGAACAAAGTACAAGGGCAACCCATAGAAAATAGTAACAAATACGATAGATACTACTCCAACTATTCAGTTATTGTGCTAAATGTCAGTGATCTAAATGCACCAATTAAAAAGGATATTATCAAAGTAGAACAAAAAGTAAGACCCACCTATATGTTGCCTATGAGAAATTGAAATATGAAGACACATATTGATTAAAAAGTACATGGAGAGAGAAAAATATACTATGCTAACAGTAATCAAAAGAAGGTGGGAGGAGCTGTATAGTTTGAGACAGCACACACTTTATTAACAGCAAGGAAAGTTATTGTGGATAAAGAGGGATGTTCTATAAGGATAAAGGGGTCAGTTCTCCACACCGATCCTTAATGTATGTGCCCCTAACAAAGCACCAAAGTATATGAGGTCAAAACTGATAGAACCACAAGGAGAAATTAATGAATCCACTGTTATGACAGCTGACCTTCAATCCTCTACCAAAAATGGACAGATGCTGGATCTAGCGGGCAGGAAATCAGTCAGGACACAGTTGAACTCAACAACACTATCAAACAATGGACTATAATTGACATCTATAGGCTACTTCATCCAACAGCAGCAGAATATACTTTCTTATCAAGTTTACATGAAATATTCCCCAACATAGACCACATTCTGGACCATAAAACAGACCTGAATAAATTTAACATCATAGAAAGTAGGCGATGTGTGTCGTCAGACCACAGTGGTGTTAAACTAGAAATCAATTAATGGAACCTCCACACAGAAAACTGTGTGGAGGTTCCTCAAAGAGTTAAAAATAGACCTGCCCTATGACCCAGCAATTGCACTGTTGGGGATTTACCCCAAAGATGCAGATGCAATGAAACGCCAGGACACCTGCACCCTGATGTTTATAGCAGCCATGTCCACAATAGCCAAACTGTGGAAGGAGCCTCGGTGTCCATCGAAAGATGAATGGATAAAGATGTGGTTTATGTATACAAGGGAATATTACTCAGCCATTAGATACAACGAATACCCACCATTTGCTTGGACATGGATGGAACTGGAGGGTATTATGCTGAGTGAATTAAGTCAACGGAGGACAAACATTATATGGTCTCATTCATTTGGGGAATATAAAAAGTAGTAAAAGGGAATATAGGGGAAAGGAGAGAAAATGAGTGGGAAATATCAGTGAGGGTGACAGGACATGAGAGACACCTAACTCTGGGAAACAAACAACGGGTAGTGGAAAGGGAGGTGGGCGGGGGGTTGGGGTGACTGGGTGACGGGCACTGAGGGGGGCACTTGACAGGATAAGCACTGAGTGTTATGCTATGCGTTGGCAAATTGAACTCCAATAAAAAAATATACCAAAAAAAAAAAAAAAAGAAATCATTAATGGAAGAGAACTTGAAAATCCCCAAATACATGGGGATTAAACATTATACTTATAAGTAATACATGGGTCAAAGAAGAAATGTCAAGATAAATTTAAAATTGCTTTGTATTTTTACAAAAATCAGTTGAAGCAAAGGTACCACTCTGGTAGAGGATGTTGACAAGGGGGAAGATTATGCATGTGTGGGACAGGGTGTATATGAGAAATCTCTGTACTTTCTATTCAATTTTGCTGAAACTTGAAACTGCTTAAAAATAAAGTATATTTTTAAAAAGTTACAGGAGGGAAAATAGGCTTAAAATGGTTTGAAGGGCACTTCTGTGGTGCAGGTAATGGTCTCTTTTGAAACTGACTGTGTTCCTTCTGTACACTCATGAAAAACTAACAAACAGTAGGCATTCATTTCAGCCCTGAAGAATGACTTTTATTTTGGCTGTGTTTTACTTCCAATGGCATTAATCAATTATGTGCACTCCGAAAAAAAAAAGTAGTACCCTAATATTTGAGCTGATGTTGGAAATTGTTTTTGATTAGCATAGTGTAGCATAGCATTTAATGGTCCTTAAGAAAAAGCTGCAGTAGATTTCATTTCAAAATTTAACATGACCATTTATTTGTCATTTTAATTTTAATTTAATGCACAATACAGGTTTTTTTCTTGCATATTGTATAAATATATATGCACATACTTTCCAAGAAATAGCATAGGCCTGCAAAAAAAGTTAGTGAGCAATAAGAAATAATAATTAAAATACAATAAGAATAGACTTCAAAGGAACATATACAATGCTAAATTGTATAATTCAGACAGAAAGATATTTTAGTTTTGTGTGCTCCTCCCCTTACCCCCACCCAAAAAATAACTAAAGCTTAGTAGACAAGAGCATTTATGATGAATATAAATACTAGAAAATAAGTAGCACCTTTGGTCAATAACATGATTGTCAACATTTATTTCTAGGAAGCCTAAGAGAGCATCTTTGATTTTGTAAATAAGCTAGTTAACATGTACCATGAAATTTAGCTGCTGCATATTTCAGAACTTGCATAGAGTGTTTACTGAAGGAATAAAAGTGAAATCCTCAAAATAAAATATCAATTTTTAGATAACAGAAATGCTATGGTTATTTGTTTTCTGTATCTTACTTTGAAAATTAGTCAGAGAATTCCTCTAATATCCAGTCAGCTTGCATCATAGGATACTACAGTATTAATTTAATAATCTAGATCCATCCATTTATTTCGATAAAGGAATCATTCTGTGCATGGCACTTTGCTAGGCATTAAAGCTGGTATTATAACTAAGATAACATCCTTGTCCACAAGGAGCTCACATTCTAGTAACAAAGAGATGAATTCGAAAATATTTTCAAAACCGCAGGCAAAATATGTACTCCTAAATTCAACATTTAGTTTCAAATTAGTTGTGCAGAGAAACAGAAACTACAATTAATAGAGACAGTATAAATGAAAATTGAGTGGTAAATGATTCAGTAGTCAAACAAGTTTGCTTAAAAGTGTAGTAGTAGGAAAAAAATGAAGTAGGAACATATTGAACTGCATATACTTTTCAAATAATCAACACAACGTATTCCTGAATTAAATAAATCTATATTATGTTTAGTTAAAAATAAAAATATGTATTTGCATGAAAATGCTAGTCCTTTCAGTTTGTTATTTTTTTCCATATTTTATTTGCCATGTTCAGAACTACTGTATATGCAAAAATCATAGAAATAAATATTTCAAGATCAAATCACAATCACTTTAAGTACATTCTTCTCTAAGAAGGCAAAGAAGAAGTACATTCTGTCTTACATTTTAAAACTTTGACTGGCATTTATTTCATATCATAATGATTTTTTGAAAAATGAAATATGTACAGCCATGATTTAGGTCACGTAAAAACAGCTGACTGGATCATCTTAGGTGTCAAGCAAATCTACCCTTTCTCTTCATTTCCCTGTCATAGTAATTATAGTTGATAGACTATGTGACAGTAAGATCATTTGTTCAATGGTCTTTAAAGTGCCTACAGAACAATCAAATCAGCTACATTTTTTCACTTAAAAATCATAAAAATACAGCTCAAGATACAATTTGTATTTAAAAAATAATTCTACGGATTAACCCCTAAATCCAACTCCTAAAGTATTCTTGCAAAAGTTAGCTAGGTGTGGCCATTGCCGAGCAATGTCTTTTATCTGTCTTCTTAGTAACATGTCATTATGTAGAACTTTTATCCCAATAATCTTACTTTTAATATTTGCCCAAACATACCAATGAGATGAGAAAGAGATATTTGTTGGAGAATATAAGTAGTAAATATTTTCAAAAATTTCTCTGCAACAGGGAGTTATTCATTCTAGGAAATATTAATCAATCAGTAGTTTAAAATATTTGGTGGGAAGTGCTTTTAAATAAGAAGCTTCAAATCAAATGTAAATTTTAGCAAATACATGGAAATATCCTACTGTCCATCTTCTACATAGGAATTTCTATATCTGAATCATATCTAAGTAGTTTGAGATCTCATTTTTATCATTATTACAAAGAAGGGGCCTTATGTTTATTGATGCAATCACTGCAGCTACTGAAGCTTGCCCTATCACAAGCAACCATTCCTAATAGCAACCATTCTCCCCTTTGTTAGGGATCTTTCCTTAGAAGTGATTTTTTTTTCCTGAAATAGAATCAAAAGGAAAAATCTGAAAACAAAACAAAACAAAACAGTCCATCTAGATAAAATGGGGACAGAGGAAGATGGTATCTCTAAGATAAATAGAAACTGTAGTTTTACAGTTGCCAGACACCTGTTGTAGGTTTTGAGTTAACTACATGAAGTGACCATTTAATACAGCAAGAATTTTCTCGATAGATCTTATCCTAATAATTTCATTAACTCATCCTCAGATTCTTGGATCATGAAATATTGTTGGAGTGTTCCCCTCAAAGTTATAATTTCTTGCATACAACTTAATAATTTAACAAACTTGCATAGTGTGTTCTGTGCTCTGGAATTAAATTTTTAGGGAACAAGCAAATGATGCTTCCAAAATAAAATATGAACATAAAGAAAGGAAGAATTAATGGAATATTGACACACAGATTCTATAAACACATTATTGGTATTTTTAATGACTTAGATATTGCTATAACAACATATATTGTGCAAAATGATTCATCCCACCAGTTATTATGTCCAGTTTATTAAGAATTATCTACTGTGGGAATCATTAAAACTCTTCAAATTAAATTTATGAACATGATTTTGCAAAGTATGACACAGGGGAAATAGATTTCATTCTGGAAATAAAGGATTTATCAAGCAAGGATAGAATAAGTGTTTCCAGGTAAATATGCATTCAATCTACAAAGTTTACCATTCAAATAGGATGGCTTAAGCAGCACAATGGGAAAAAAAAGCAGGTCAGGAGTCCAAAAGACAGGGTTCTACTTTCTATCCTGCATTTACTCAAAAGATAGATATATATTTAGGCAAAGCCCTTAACCTGTTATAGTCTTATTCTGTAAAAAGGTGCATATCTAACAAACCTAATTTAGAGGGTTGAGAAGATGATATGAATTAAATATATTTTGATACATAAATATATCAAAAAATAGAATACAAATCAAAATATAATTACATCTAATGCTTAGAAAATAAGCATTTATTTAAAGATTTATTTGAGAGAGAGAGAAAGAGAGCAGGAAGAGGAGCAGAGGGAGAGGGAGAGAGAATCTCAAGTATTGACTCCGTGCTGAGCATGGAGCCCAACTCGGGGCTCGATCTCACAACCCTGAGATCATGACCTAAGTCAAAACCAAGAGTCAGTTGAACCAACTGAGCCACCCAGCCATCCCCAAAATGAACAAGTGTTCATTGTCCCTTCTTGCTAAATCCAGAAATCTTCATACTTCAGTTACAAATAGAAAGCATGTGGTAGAAAAATAAAGTCCTTTAAACAGTATATCCAAAATTTGTAGTTTACTCTAATGAACAAGCTATATAAACTAGGTCCAACTTCAAAATTATTTTTAGATGCATATGAAAATAAAATAACAACAAACCCAGAATAAAAAGCTTAGAAGAATATGTTTCAAAATTCACCCTGAAGTTCATATAAGAATTCTGTTCTTTTTGCTCATCTGAGCAGAACTTTTTACCAACTCATACCTTGATAGAATATTGAATATCAGTGTTTTCATACAGAGCTTCTTTAGATTATTTTGCCATATTTGAATTTTAAACAAGCAAACAAAAAAAACTCGTTTTGGTATGCAAAGAAAAAAATGTTTGCTGAAATGGCAATGAATTAATCACCTAGTGAAATACTCCTGAATGTTACACAATTAACAAGCACATATGGAGACTGAAAAACATGGTGTTCATGGACACAAGGGAAGCATAACTGAACCCGCCAAGGAAACAAGAATTCTGTATTAAAAATGCCCAGAATTAGATGGAAAATGCTAAAGAAGCTGACCTAGACATTGTGAAAAACAATGGGAGGAAAATAATTTTTAAAAATAATCATGAGAAAAAAAGGCACTGAGAAGGTAAGGTAGCTCAGGATTGGGGTGGGAGAAATAATTCAGTCTAAAAAAATTTCCATATGCTCTACTAGAAACACCAAAAATTCTGTTCGCAATATCACTTTTCCTTTTAATGCAGGGACCTAAAATTATGATTCTCAATGCTAGCACAATGGTTTCACGAACTGCATGTAAGCGAAATAAAGTGAAGGAAAGGCAGTGTGGGAGAATAATATAAACCAGATCGTAGGATCTTGTAGGAGTTAGAAATTAAATAGTTTACAAACAATTGATAGTAAAGAGAAAATGAGAACTACAAAAAATGATGTGAGCTCAGCAAATTATTCATGTTTTAATTATCAACAAAGATAAGTTATGATTTTGATTATACAAGCATTATAATTACTGATAATTGAGCCTCTCAGCTTTTCAGTGCATGGAGCCCATGCGCATGGATGTGTAAAAATCAAAATCTAAAAAACAAAGTGAGTTGAATAAAAGTTATAATTTCAATTTATATCTGAATAATTTTAATGCTTCTTGGTATTGTGAAGCGTTGCGGTAGGGAATCTACTTGGTATGATGTACCGGGGATGTCACTGCATTGAGAGAGTATATGGGCTATGGAATGGTGCTGTGCTGTGGGGTGAGCTTTGTTTCTCAAAGTTGTGAGGCACTGTAAGGAAATCAGAAACACCCAAGATAGTGCCAAAAACAGGAAGATTGATTTTTTCTAGATTCCTAAAAATCATATTCATTAATGTATTTATCATGCATAAGGAAGACTCATATCAACAAAACGTCTTCTAGATTACAGGCACCTTCCTTCTCCAGGATACCTCAAGCTAAGGCCACAGGAGTTCCCTTACTTGTGAAGATGAGAGATCATGGCCAAAAGTATACTCTGTTTTCTCCAGCAATAGGCCCATTCCTACAAATCACAACTCTTCAAGCCCAGATGCAGCACGTGTGAGTTTTGGGAAAGATACAAGACTCTAGAATTACGTCATCTAAAATAATGCTAAAGAGAACACTATTGCATGGATGTCCAAAGTCTTAGAGTAAAAGGACAAAAGTAATGACACTTGTTCTGTCTATAGCACAGACAAGACAATGGCAGTTCTAGGTGTTCAAGGAAACTTAAAAAATGAATTAGGATGTAGGGGCAGTTGTATTCAATTACGAAAACGAATATATACTGCATAGACTATATAAATGAACCAAGTCATTTATATCTTATAATCTTTTTAAATGTCTTTGGTAGCAAATAAAAATCTTTAAAATATTTTTTTCTTTGGTAGCTGTATGATCCTATAAATGGGAACCTCTGTAACTCTGAATATGTTTTCTACGAAGTACATTTTGAGTCATAATAAGTAGCAAGCAATATGGGAATTACTTATCCATAAAGAAAATAACATTTTTCCTCTAAATCCAACCTCAGGGAAAATATATTATTCCTGAGTCATATATATATGTCATTATTTTTGTGCAAAAAGTCATATTAAAACAATTATGGCTATTATACAATCATTACCACTATTTGGGATAATTTACATTGGCCAGAAAAGCAGGCAACTTGAAATTATATATTCAGTTTATAGCAAACAGTCTCTAACGAGCACTAAATAAATCAGAATACAAATTGCAGTTAAACCTAATTGGTTTACTATATAGGGTTTAAATTTTTTGTTATCTATATTTTATCTACCTTTGCTTCTATAGATTCTATTGAAAGCAGCATGCTAGTGAACACCCTAGGGGCTCTTCCTGCTTTTAGATAAATCTGAATTTTAGTTCTGGTTCTGTCACATACTACTTTACAACCTTGGGTAATTAGCTGAACTTTGCATGTCTGATTTTTGTTTTGTTTCCTTTCATCTGTTATATCAGGCCAACAGCCTCTACTTACAATTTGAATATTAAAAGGTGGCCGAAATGCACAATATAAATATTAGTCCCCTCTCACTTCATACCCTTTCTCCCCTGTTAAATGGAGCCTAATGATCATGCTTTTTAATTTTATTAAAAGTGCAACACTACACATACAAGAGGGTTTTTAAAAAGGTACTTTGGGATGGAAAATAATTTTCAATACTGATTAAGGATATCTCTACATTTTACATTATCAACATAAAAACTTACATTTACATACATCTTGCGGGTTTTTTTTTTTCAGTTATCCTCAATTGTCTTGTGCAGCCAGAAGAAAAAGGAATAAAAAAAAAAGATTTTTTATAGTGCACATTCAAATATCTCAAACTTATTTTACTTATTTTCTAGTGTCCATGGGTGGGGCATGAGATAAAATAGTTGGAACCTGATACTAAAGAAGTGAAACTCATGTGAATTTACATTGAGAAAACATGTCTTCCAATGTCTTCCAATAGGAAGCACACTAGAGCCTGACCCAGTGCCTCTTATACACATGTTGATTGGAATCAAAAAAAGGATCGGGAAAGAGGGTAGGGACAGGTCAGGACAAGTCTATACCCAATATTCTATTCATAAATTAGTGAAGGCATATTTAAGGTTAAATTGTGAAAAACATGGACTACTATTTACCATAAGTAGAAAAATACTTAAAGTCTCCAGGGATCATGAATTCTTTTAGTACCCAGGTTGATAACCTCCCTTCTTTGCAATTCCCCAGTGGGGAAATGGGAATAAAAGAAATTTTAATGGTGTACTATGATTTCGCTTCATGACCTCTTGAACATCTAAAACCTGTCATTCCCTAGGGGTAGAAATTAGTTCTACACCGATCACTGCAGACACAGAGGCCAACTATACTACTTCCTCTAGACTATATGAATGTTCTCGTTTCCAAAATTTCCTATGGGAATTAATATATGCGCGAATTTGACACTTTGTGTGGTGCTGCTGCTAGGCATGGCTGTATACATATGATGTGCTTTGAAATGTGCAATTTTACTTCCCTTTCTTTTTTAACAATTTAATATACAGTGTTAGAAACGAAAAGTTACTGAAGATGACCAAAGACCAACAAAACGTATATGAACTGGTTTTGACCTCACAAAAACCTCATCAATAAGTAAATAAATCTCCTTCCATGGAGGAAGTTACTGGAATGCACCTTCTGGTTGTCTCTACCAGAAGGTGACAAAAAGGACTGAAGCCTTGGGCCCAATACCCCACTATCATTACTTTGCTGTTTATTTCCCCTTGGGATCTGATATGTATATTAATTTAAATATGTGTCCTCAGAGAACTGAATACATATTTTGGAAATGTTTAAGATTGGAGAGCTACTACACAATTTATGATGTTGCATTTCTTATGATGAGTCAGAGTTGAATACAAAAGCACTAATAATATGAGAGTAGCTCATTCAAAACTCAAGATTGGGCAAAACTAAATTAAAAACAGCCATACACTGCCACATTTAGCCTGATTTATTTACCTATGTTATTGGCACAAGTGGTTTTATTTAATATTTTTTTTAAAAAAACACAAATTCGTCTTCATCTGCGAAAGAAGTGAATGCTAAACGAAATACGGGATTTTATGTAGCTTCCTAAATAGGAGCCACGTGCTTAACCAGTGCATAGATTTTACAAATCAGATCCTTAATGTCAACTATCTCAAAAGCTTGGAGTCCAGGTACAATCTCATAGAAAATAAGATAGCACCTGCCTCCACTGCAATAAAAAAAATAGATAAACAGCAGATTCCTTCTGACATCTTAAGAGTAACATCACTTCAATAATCAAGCATTAAAGGTTTTTCATTGATCATACTCTTAATTTAAACTCATATTTACTGATGTAAATACTTATAACTTTAGCCATAAGGCACAAATCCTTTCTTGTATAAAAGTACTGTATTACTCTAAATGGTATTTATAGTCCTGAGTACACAGTAAATCTTATGCCTCTATATCCAAGGGTGATTCAGGTTCTCAGATGTTTTAGCATCATTATGAAAATGAGAAACTGCTAAAAGAAAGTGGCCGGCAATGTTGCAGGCTTCTTGCTATAGTGTGGTGAACTATGCCTACCCCTCACGACTGTATGTTCCAAGTTACATGCAGCTTCCAGTACTAGAAACCTTTTCTAATGGTCTCCTGGTTATGTTTCCAGGTAGCAGGAAGTCTCATCAGGAGGGGGTAGGATTTTGAAGTGTTGCCATTCCTGCAACATGAGGAATTTCAGTGGCTGAGCAAAAGGCCTGCTTGGATTTCTGTGTTTTGCTTTTGCATTTTAGGGAGGGAAGAGAAATGAGAGAATTTAGAGGGCTCAGTATAAGCACCTCTCACTCTTAATCAGCTTTACTCAGATGGATCATTCATAACAGTAACACTCTGATTGCTGCTACATGTTGGGAAAAATTGGAATTTGGCCTATTTGTCAGCCTGTCAACCAGGATTCTGGTAGATTCCATTTTGAAGTCTCAGTATGACAGTTGAGTCTGGATTGAGTTCTGATTAAAAGAAATCCCTGGTTATTACTTTCTGGATTAGTAACTAAAATCCTTTTAAAATCAATGATTGCAGCTCATTGTGAGGAGTCACTTAGGCTTTTAATTTGATTTACATATTAAGTAAGAATTATTGGAGGGTTCTATTCTCTAGCACCAGGTACTAATGTTCGTCCTCAAAGAAGTCATGCGCGTGGATTAATCAAATCTAACAGTATGAAGAAATAATGGTTTAAAATGGAGAGGTTTTTTTTCAAATTTATTTTATATATGCAAATGCTTTTTTTTTACTCAGTTAGTTGCATTTTCAAATTAAGATCATCCTCATTTTCACCCATGTTCTTATCTTCAAAATTTATATTATAAAGTATTATGTCTTCATTCTCCATGTATTTATTTTTAAGTTAAAAAAATGATAATATTCTTTTTGAACTTATTTGTCTTTTGTTTGCTGGGTACTTTGTTCACATGTGTACATATAAGTGAGTGTGGATGTGTGTGTGTGTGTGTGTGTGCAACTAGAAGAAAATTCATTTTCTTTCAATTTCATTTAACACTAAAAATAAAATTTGGACAGGGTATTCTTATTGGATTAAACAGACTCCTTCTAACTACTTGAACCAGGGGTTTGGGATTCAGATCTCTATAACCAAGACTGGAAGTCACTGGAAGACTTTAAAATTATTTTAACCATGACAGACTGAGTCATGAATGGAAATAAACCCATTGCATGGATTTTTTATAGGCATAATCTCAGAATTTAACCATCCAAACAAGGTTTAAAAAACAAACTTATAAAAATTTGCCATTGAGGAAAGTCTGATCTCCATCCTTAATTATGACTCCTCATTTCAAGTAAAAACTTTCCCGAAATTTTGAAAAAAAAAAATACTCCTAAGAAAGTCATAAACACTGAAATCAGAGATGTGATTCTTGTTAAATATTAGTTTCTCTTTCTGAGGGATTATTCCCTGTTTCTGTACTTTTGATGTCAATGTCATGAGGTTTAGATTTGTTCAGGGGTTCAGACTCTTTGGATTCAGGTATATTCAATGATTTCATCCTTCCTTCTTCCTGCTTCTTTTCCTTTGCAAGCAATCTGTAGTTTATAGCGTTGCCAATGAGGAGCCACACACTTGATAGGAACACAATAGTTCCGCAGGCTATATACATGTATTTATACTGTCCAGTTTCATCCACCAATTTACCTAAGAGACAGAGAACATAATAAAACAACCAGAAAATGATAACATGTTCCAATAAATTATTCTACAAAGTATGTACTTATTTCTTATTTAAGTTAATATTGAATGAGATTTTAACAAAAAATATTACAGATTATGAATTCTATATATGCATAGAAAAGGCAATTATGGACACACACAGCATTATATTACCAGCATATTAAATTTACTAAAGACTATTCCCCTCAATAAAAATGTACAACCAAGACAAAGTAGGTATATATTCTTACATACATGTATGTGTGAGACATGTTTTCTGTATCTATGTGTATCTAGATATATTTATCTATTAATATTTACCATTGAGACTGCTTCATCCTTTCTAAGCTTTTCAATAAAAATGAAAAAATTATATTTTTTATTTAAGAAAGACCCAAAGGCTTTTTTAAGGTTCTTGACATGCTTTTTCTATGTCCAGCACTAGGCATAGAAACATTTTTTTAAAGATTTTTAATTTATTTATTTGAGAGGGAGAGGCAGTGGATGAACATGAACAGGGAGTGTGAGGGGAGAGAGAGGGAGAAGCAGGATCCCCTGAGCAGGAAGCCCAACGGCAGGGCTTCATCCTGGGCCCCTGGGATCATGACCTGAGCCAAAGACACAGAGGCTTAGCTGACGGAGCCACCCAGGGGCCCCTAGGCTAAACACTTTTAAATGAGGTAATATCTAATTTGATCCTTACAAGAGCCCGATGAAGTAATCTGAATGTGGCCACATAGACAGTGAGTGGCAGAATGAGGAGTCTAACCAAGGTCCCTGAATCTCAGGTTCTTAACTACTCTGCAAAAGAGCTTCACCACACCTTTTGGTTAAGAGTCAGACCATAACTTTTTGGGCTAAAAGCAATTTAATTTATCTGACTCTAAATTATTAAAGCCAGACTAATCAGGAAGAAAATATTTATTACATTTGATTATTGGGAACATTTAAAAACTAGCCTAATATCATATAACCTGACGTTTAGTGACTTTTTTTTTCTTTTTTAGAGTGAGAGTAGTGGGGGATAGGAGGACACACAGAGGGAGAGGGAGACAGAGACTCTTAGGCAGGCTCTGTGCCCAATATAGCTACACCTGACGTGGGGCTCTATCTCATAACCCTGAGATCATGACCTGAGCTGAAACCAAGAGTCAGGCACTCAACCAACTGAGTCATTCAGGCACCCTGGTTTATTGACTTGTAAAAATAATTCAGTTTTACTTAATTTTGCCTCTTGGTTATGTAGGTACCTAAATCTTAACAATGATAGTATATACAAATCTATATTATTTATTATATGTATATTCTAGGTGATTCTGATACAGGCATGATTCTTTAATCAGAATCTCATTCATTCTGGATAGAATCTAGTTAGTGGCTCAGCATTAAATTTAGCTACTTATGAAATTGCCTATTTGAGCAAAGTCCTCTGTTTAATTAGTTAAATGGTGGAGTCGGCTTATTTAAGTGTGCCATATAGATAAACATAACAAAAATGTATAATTTAAATTTCCATTCTAGTGCTAGTCAAATATTTCTATTCATACAATGATTCTTATACTTCTAAATACATAAACATTAGGTCTACGGCCCTATCAGAGTTAATATCACTTTGGGCTGCCATAACAACATACTTTCTAAATGTGTGGGGAATATTTTAGCATCATCAAGAAACCAGATATGATTTCCAGAACTAAAGCTTCAGCTCTTGTGAGTACAGCACAGATAGTCTGAGCTGAAAAAAAAACAAAACTAAAAATCATACTCTATCTCCTGCTCTACTAACAAGAGTGGCGGCAGCAGCAGCAACTGTGTGAATAGTAACTACAATGATACTCATTCATTCAGAAGTATTTGATGAATGCCTAACGTGTGACAGGCACCATTCTAACAGTGATCAAAGGCAACAGAGAGGAAGCCAGTCCAAAAGTCAAGGAGGATCAAGGGTTGCAGAAATAGGATGAAAAAAAAAATGGATTTATTACAGCTATGGGCTGAGAACTTCAACAAGGAGCCCAAAATCAATTCTTGCCATTGTCATTACTGGTGCAATGGTTTGGTAATACTAAGACAAGAAGCACTCAAGATCACTGAAACTGATATAAATGTTATTAATATAGGTTCTCAGTGCAGGTAGGAATAGTCAAATCAGATTCCTTCATTTACATCCTTAGAGTCCACCCACTATCTGTTAACCTGACTTAATTTTTTTTAATCCCACCATGGCTGGTGAGATACAATTTTCTCTGCTGATACTAAAACCTTTGCTGCTAATGAATAGGCTTCTAAAACCCATTTGATAAAATTAATTCTGTAGGAAAAGATAGCTCAACTGTGCCTGTCTTATGTAACAAAATCAATTGGCTGATAACAGACTGACTGGCTTTCATTCTTTTTTAAAAATTGTTTTGATGCCTTAGTATATTCAATATTAACAGATATACCACCCAAAACTTCTGTTCTGGATACAAGAGGCCAGCCCTGGTAGATAGAAAAATTCAACAACTATACCACTCATTCCTGACCAAGTGAAAAAAGCATGGCAAGAAGTCAATGATACTCTAAGATCGAAAATTAAATACAGGGGATCCCTGGGTGGCACAGGGGTTTGGCGCCTGCCTTTGGCCCAGGTCGCGATCCTGGAGACCCGGGATCGAATCCCACGTCGGGCTCCCGGTGCATGGAGCCTGCTTCTCCCTCTGCCTGTGTCTCTGCCTCTCTCTCTCTCTCTCTCTCTCTCTGTGTGACTATCATAAATAAATAAATAAATAAATAAATAAATAAATAAATAAATAAATAAAATTAAATACAAATTTTCCCAATTCAAAATGATTTTTTGGTGTTTGGGACTACTGAATTACTATGCTGTACACCTGAAATTAATGCAACACTGTTAACTATAATGCAATTTTAAAAAAATGACACCTTGATATGTAGGTAACAGTTTAACGACTGGAAAAATTTACATTTAACTTGGCAGTTACTGTGACCACTAGGGGTCAGGCCAAGAGCCTAAGTGAATACCTAAGTTTAGTATTAACCAAAACTATGTACTGTGAAAGGCTAGCCCGCATAATGTTTTTAATATTTTTAACGTTAAAGTCTAAGACTGAACAAAGTCTTACCTTCAAAAAGGCACTTATACAAGTGTCTTAGTCTCCTTACTGTGTAATTTAGCACAGATAGTTTCATAGACATTGATGAAAATATTTCAGATCTTAAAATCACTATAATTTATAAATGTGTAATGTATCTGTTCAAAATTAATTCCTTTTCCTTATTGCATTTCATATACATATAAAAATATATATGAGTATATATGTACATATATAGGTATATATATATACATAATATACATAGGTATAAATATATACATATATTTCTGTCAGCAATATTATAAAAGTATGCTACCCTTAGGCATGTAACATATTAATATGACTAATGTACTCTAGTAAAAAATAAACCTTGACCTTTTGTCGCAGTATTTAAAATTATTGACTCTATTTTAATATAAGCAGAAAATAAAATTTTCATCAATGATAAAAAAAAATCAAAAGTGGACTTTTATCATGACACATTTTTATAAGCACAAAACAATGGATATGGGTAAACACCTGAAAGTTGTGTTACTAATTATCAGTCTAATTTAAATTCTTAAGTCCATAGCCCCTAGCTCTGAAGCAAATTTAGGTCTAAAATCTACTATTTATGAAATTTAAAAATACATACATAAGAAAACCTAAAATTAACACACTCACAGTCCTTCAGGCTATTAGTATGTATTATGACAAGCCGCATCATACAGTACAAAGAATGCCCTGGCTAGTAGATATATTCATCTTACGGTTCTTGGAGGAGAAGTATTTTCTGGAGGAGAAGTATTCTTACCAGCGAGAGGAGGACCAAGAAGAACCGGGCAACACTCCACCACGGTGACGAGTCCCACAGCGCTGGAAAACCTTTGGGGTCCAACCAGGTCCATGAGAGACTCAAAGAGGACACTGCTAACACTCCCAAATCCAAGACCAAAAAATATAGCATATAACACCAGGCTTGTGTAGTCCTCTGCCAATGGGCACAGGAGATGACACACTCCATTGAACATGATTGCAAAACTGAAGAAGTACTGGATTCGGGGTCGGATAAGTTTGGAATTTGCAATGACTCCTCCAGCCGGTCTAGCAAACATATCAACAAAAGCCATAATGGACAGCAAGAAAGCTGCAGAATATTCATCGATTCCTTTGTCTTTAGCATAGGGAGCCAAGAATATAATGGGGGCAAAAAACCCCAGAAACATAATGACATTTCCAGATAAGTATATCAGAAATCCCCTATGCTTAAAAAGGGAGAAATCTAAGTACTTATTAATTCTTTCCCATGTTGGTTTCTTCCTAAGGCTTTTTGTCACATCTGAATCATCCACTCTTATGCCAATTTTATTTTTAGACTTCCTGGTAACTTGTTTGGGTTCAACGGGTCTCATGAGGGACCCAGCCACACAGGCATTCAACAGTATACCTCCCAAAATCAAGAAGCTTCCTTTCCAGCCAAAAGTATTAAAAAGGTACTGATTGAAGGGAGCCAGTGTGCTTAAGAAAACAGGACTTCCTGCCATGGCGAGGCCATTAGCCATGGGTCGTTTCTTATAGAAATATTTGCCAATGATTGTCAGGGCAGGTTGCAGGTTGAAGGCTAGACCTAAACCTAAAAAGAACAGAACAAAAGGAAGAAAAACACAAACACAATATGTCACTCACAAAAGAAAATTACTCCTTAAAATGTACATTCAAGTGGGGAAGGCAGGACTGAAAGTGCAAAAGCAAGTAGTAATTTTCGATAATTATAAATACCATGGAATTGTGCGTAAACATCCACAACTGGACGCTTGGCAAGTATGACAGCTTCATATACCTTTCATGTGAAAGCACAAGAATAAAACCAAGAACTTCTGATGTTTCCAAAATCATAGAATAGGTTGAAATTAGGATGCAATTATTAGTTCATAATTACAATCACTTAATACCACAGATAAGTTAATCCTCTATTTGCATAAACATATATGTTTATATGTGTTATAACTTTATACATATATATAGAATAGATTTCTTTCTTGTGGGCAAGAGTGCATTTAAAATGCGAACACTTTTTTTTTTTAAGAGTGCAACAGAGTGAACAGATTATAAAGGTTGTTGTTTAAGGAAATCTTGGGTCTCTCCAGAAATACTTCTTTTAGAACGGTGCAAAAAATAAACAAGAGTAATGAATTAACAACATTAATGTTATGCTGTATATCTTTCACATTCCACATTTCATGCAATTAGATGCATGTGTGTGTTGGCTGAAAAATAAATTTTTTGCTTTAAACGTTTTATTTCAGGGATTAAACCTCATTCTTTATATGAGTCAAAAGTTCCTACTGTCTAGGGAATCCATTGGCAGTGCTGAGTATCAGCTTTGGGAGATGAATTACTTCTTATAGTTTGTCAAGCTATTATTTAGCAATAGTTAAGATTAAATTTGTTTAAAAGCACATAAAATTGATCTAGATAAGGTACCTCTCTTTCCCCCTTAGCCTGTGCATTATGCTATATTTGTTTAAAGGCTATAGAAGTAAGAATTCTGAATTTACCGGTTAATGTAAATTGAGACAGTATTGCAAAGTGGTTAAGTGTTTAGACTCTGGGACAACTCTGTTCTCAGTACAGATACTTATTGCAAACCTTTGACACAAATATTTTCTGTGAGTAGAAAAGCTGACCCAAAGGAACCAAGAACATGCTTAGAGAGTAACAGGGCAGTATGCTCTCTGACTGTACCACAGCCCCGACCCGTGAGACACGCAGAGTAAGTGTAATTTATATATTAGAAAACCAGCAGCTTATGGTCAACGGCTTGTAAATGGAAAAATCCAAATTAAAACTCGGGAATGTTTTTAGAAGTTCAAATTTCTTTACCTAATGCCACCTGTCCCCAACCCCCGGCCCTATTCTGTCCCCTAAAATTTTGCCTTCACGTTGTTAATACAACTTCTCCTTAGGAGACAGTGGCCATCTATTTCCTATTCTGGCCTTGTAAAATGAACATGAGATTTGAAATCCAAAGATCTGAATCTGCCTCAACTACTATATACATTATTGGAATAACACTTAGACTTCTTGAGTTCCAATACCTTCAACCACAGCTTTTGCCAAAGTTAAGTTCTAGAACTGTAAGATGTTACATGATGACATATGATGATAATTATATGCTAATATTTATTTAAAAGTAACAAAATTCTGGGTACTCTGTAAAGTACTATGAATTCATTTTTAAGAGCTTATCATTTCCCCCATTTTAAAGATGAAGAAGGGGATCCCTGGGTGGTGCAGGGGTTTAGCGCCTGCCTTTGGCCCAGGGCGCGATCCTGGAGACCCGGGATCGAGTCCCACATCGGGCTCCCAGTGCATGGAGCCTGCTTCTCCCTCTGCCTATGTCTCTGCCTCTCTCTCTCTCTCTCTCTGTGACTATCATAAATAAAAATAAAAAATGAAAAAAAATAAAGACAAAGAAGCTGAAATATAAGGAGACTAATTTACTCATGATCCTACTATGTGCTAAATTAGTTTTAAAAACTAGATGGTCTACCAAAAAGTATTGGCTGATAATGCCTTACGATAAATCTCTCATGGTATATTTATTTATTTTTTTTTTAAAGGTTTTTTATTTATTTATTTACGATAGTCACAGAGAGAGAGAGAGAGGCAGAGACACAGGCAGAGGGAGAAGCAGGCTCCATGCACCGGGAGCCCGACGTGGGATTCGATCCCGGGTCTCCAGAATCGCGCCCTGGGCCAAAGGCAGGCGCCAAACCGCTGCGCCACCCAGGGATCCCTCTCATGGTATATTTAATGGTTGACTCTAGAAGCACCAAAGCCTTCGAGACTCAAAATAAATAGAATTGAAATTAGAATAGCATGTTATTGAAATTTGTAACACAATAATAACAAAATCATCTTTTCCATAATACATCTACTTGTGGGCCCAGCCTGACTTCTACAGTCAAATGTCATATATAGTATTTCTGCACAGAAGAAAGGACATCCTCGGCACTATGACAATTCTTAGATATAAGAGTCTCATTTATGATGTCGAAAGGTGTTTTACCACAACAGAAAGGAAGATAGTTGTGGAAAGGCTGCAAAGAGAAAGATTTTAACACCAGAATTACTAGGGTCTTAATAAATATATCTTTTCTTTTTCATCAAATGATACAAAAGTGCAAGGTTAGATGGATCTAAAATTACTTTAAAAATAGTATATATTTACCATTTTTCTGCAAGCATAAGTAAAAGATTTAGTTCCTTTATATATTAAAATCTAATTTTTCTTAAAACTTTGAGTGTAGATTTGTTTAATGTAGTTTACTGTTGAGACTAATAAAAATGGTGTTTTCCAAATGTACGTATTTAGGTCAGTTTGAGACAAAAGACATTATGCACGAGGAACAACTCTAATAAAATGACAGTAGACATTTTAAAATGTGTGTTTAGTGGCATATATGCCTTACAGGGCCTTTAAACAATTAGAATCTTTTGTAAGGAAAAGAAGGGACGCCAATACAGAGCTCTACCACTAACCAGAACACAGATAAAAATAATTCTATTGTTAGAGCCAAATCAATACATGCAGAAAATATATTTTGGCATCGTTTTTTAACCTATAATGACTGATAAGTCAGATACTCTAAATAGTAATAAGTAATGAAAACTAGCTTTAAAAAAATTAAGCTATTTGCAAGAAATTCCGTGTCCATAATACTATCTTAACTGGCTGATGAATAGAGGATGAAATGGTAAAATTAAATCAAATCTGTTTTCTTTTTGACGTTTATATCCTAACACCTAATGTGTCTGATAACTTGTTTTTTCTATTTCTTGAAAGAAGCTTGATTGGCCATTCCAAGGTAGTATTTCAGTGTATTGGATGAAAATAAGATAGCATCTGATGTAAAAAGTAAATGCAATACAAATATTCTGTTGTTTATGCTTCTTACAGAGCTTTGCAGACAATAGAAATGTTAAGAAGAAAATAAGCGGAAAACAAAACTTGACTTACCACAAATGAGTCCCATAGTGAGGTAAAGCTCTATTACGCTGGTACTAAAAGAGGCTGTGACCATTCCCAAACAGCATAATAAACCTCCTACTATCACCACTGGTCGGCTACCATACTTATTCACCAGAACACTGCTTATGGGACCTACAGTAGGGAGGAAATTAAGAAATGCTCAGTTGAAAAAAAAAAAAAAAGAAAGAAATGTTCAGTTGCTGGGTCATTTATTTATTTTTAACAGTTGTTAATTTTGGAAGCATATTTAATGATAAAAGAAAAATACTAGTTCACATAGAATATAATGAAAACTTTTCAAGACTTCCAATCACTTTGGTTATCTTTAACCATATATATGACAGCGCATAAAATAATAAACTAGAAGTGTTTAACATACAGTTTATGGCCATAATCATTTAGCTTTTGATGGAAAAGTTTTTCAGCAGGACATAGCTACACTATCCAAGTATTTAATAAATGCAGGCAAATTTATGTAACAATAATCTAGAAATCATAAAAAGACTTGTCTGTGTTATAATTTTATTTTCTAGAATAATATATGTGCACACACATATATCCTCCTAATTAGAGCTCAAATTATTTTTCCATTATACCACAGTATGATTTTTCTTTAATATCATATTTCTTTGATTCTAAGGTACCAATTGTTTTCATATATTATTATGTTATAAATAAAGATGTATCACACTTGAGGTCTCTTAACAATCCATGTTCATCAGATGGAGGTCACAGGTAGCAATGTAGCTATCACTGCCTACACATGCTTGAATTTGGTGGTTATTTCTGTGGTTGGCTGGACAATGGCAATTCTTCATACTTTAATCAAACCGTTTAAGGACCATTTGAAGAAGGAACATGAATATGAATCTTGATTATTGTCTGAAAAATCTTATGTTGACACATTCTGATAATGTCAAGAAAGTACCAGCATCAAAACTTACTGAATGAGTAGAGCAGCTGAGATTAAAATTACCAGAGAAAAAGATGGATCTCTCTAATAAGATATGCTCATGGGCAAAGAAAGTCTTACGTGTGAAACATGAACACTGAGAACTCTGACTTGAAAAGTAATTTGTGACAGCCAGATGCAGAATGGGAAGAGGTTTTAGGAGTGCTTTACTCAATTCATTTAATGTACATTTCCCAATGTATGTGTGTGTATACATATAAAATATGCAGGAGTGGTTAAAATAATTAAAATCATCTATGTTTAACTATGTCTAAGAAAGCCCCTTTGGTAGTTAAAAATAAAAATTCTAAATATTAATAGTGTGTGTTGTTTTATTTTATTCATAGCATTTTTTAGTGGTGCATCATAAAATAATGGTGCAACTTAAGAACTGAGATCATCTTAGATTCAGTGAAAGTCCTTATTACTTTATGAGACCTTTCAATGTGGAAATGGTCTGACCTGACACTTCTTAATTTGAAATTATATTTCATCTAAAACAAGGACCGTTGATTTGAGGAAAAAATATTACATTAGGTCAGAATTTCCAGTCCAATATTTAGCTTAGCAAAAAATTAAATGAGTTTTAGTTAATACTTTAACTTAAAAATATGCTAAGTATATTGTACTGCATTTGAGAATTTCTACATGGATAGATTTTAAAATATATTAAGCTTCATTTGTCAATAGAGCTTTATTCCTTCACACAACTATGGTTACTATTTTTATTCCTTAAAGTTTGAAAAAGAAAACCTTCATGGCCTAATATTATTCCACAATATCTTTTGAAAACATCTTGGTAAAAATACATAATTTTACAAAAAGAACTCAAAAATAGAATACCACATTTTGCATTTTACCCCCCCCCCAAAAAAAAAACTAAACTAAAAACGGCCATATAAAAGATAGCTCTATAAAAACAACAGAGTTGGAGGGGGAAAAAATCAATGAAAATTGTACAAGATAATGTGAAAAGAATAGATTTCAGTCCCTACTATGGTAAAAACTCATATGATTTTGGAAATGAGCATTTTCACTAAAAAGCACATAGCTAAATTCAAATGGCCGTTGTGAGAAATGAATTGATTAGCTTTGATTAATTATTGAACTTAAGTGTTGATTCCTTTTCTTAAAATTACTTAACCAGTTCACTTTACTTCAATTCATTTTAACTCAAATCAGTTCAATGAAATTTTTTAAGCTTCTACCATAAAACCAGTCAGCACATGCCAAGAATAAAATAATAAAAGCATAACTATAATCATCAACCCATTATAGTCCAGAGGGAGAAATTATCAAGTTATTTTAACAACTGTGATGGATGCTTTGATAAATACTAGACTATCATAATGAATCCAAAGGCATTTATCAATTACTTGGACTAATAATTTTCTCAGTATCATTGATATTATATGTATATCATTTTCTGTGAGATGCCTGGATAACTTAAAATTTTCTAATTACTAAATTTTATATATGTGTTTGCCTAAATGGTGTAAATTTAAATTTGAACATAAAAAAAATAAAAAAAATAAATTTGAACATAGGCTATGAATCACAACTTAACTTGCAATGTGTGGCAAATAAGTATATCTATAGTTTAGGATAATCACATCAAGGCCTTTTTTCCACAATTCTGATTAAGAGTAGCCAGTAAAGAAAACATTTAGAGGCTCTGATATTTTTCTTTTTGAAGAGACTGGTAATTTCTACTGTGGTATCAATCAAGATGCATTAAGAGTTGTAATTTTAACAACTGATTTTACTCTAAATAATATATACTTTAGTTAGGTGATAATCTACAAGATAATCTATAAGGGATGTGTTTACATAATCCATATATCTTTTTCTAGCAAAAGAAGATATATTTTTAAGTTGATTTTTTAGAAATCAAACCTCCTTACCCCTTAATTTTAAATGCTTATAAAATGTCATAAAATATTTCTACTTTGTAATAGTTGTAGATCTAATTAAAATTATGATACAGAACAAAATATACTTATTTTGTAAAGAATCTTTAAATGCTTAACATTAGCTTGAGGAGGCATCTAACAGTAGATGTAAAACACAACACTATCCAATATTCTCTCTCTCCAATCTATAAGCAGCATGGTTTATTGTATTTACAAGAAAGATGAAGTTTCAAGAAAATAAATAAATTCTCATCACATGTGATTTTTCTTAAACATGAGCTAGCCTCACAGGTGTGCCTAGTTGATGAACCTTAGGCCTAATTATATTCTGAGGTCATTTACTTATTTATCTATTAATTTAATCAGGATGAAGGTTTTTACTCAACATATGTTTTTCAAGTAATCATGATGTTTAATCATTAGTTATGCCAAAAAAGAAAATCCTCTACCTGCTGAGAGTTACATCTGAGCCTATCTCAGTAGAGCAAAGGTATTGTTTTTCAGAATGCTTTGTTATGTTTGTCTAGTGGTTAAAAAAAAAAAGATGTACAAGAATAATATTGTCTTATTTCCAAAAACATTCACACAAGTTTCAGACTATATCTAAACCACACTCATGTACCCACTAATTTCTTCTGCTCCAGCTTTCCAGTCTCAGAATTCTTAGAGTCAAGTATAATAGCCATTTTCATGCTAGCTGTGAAGTTGTAAAGGAGGACCTCGTTAGAGAGCAGCGTAAAGATCACAATGTTGTCACTGATATTTCAGATACTTGTTTTCTGAAAGCTACTTCTGTCTTTTATGGCTGTGGCTCCATAACACTTACTCTGGTAAGGAAGCTTATGTGCATTCTTATAAATTACAGAGAGCTTTTTCCCATTCTTAGAACTCCTGTTGCACTTATAGTTGCGCGCGCGCGCGCGCACACACACACACATATACACACACTCCACAACACTTACCCTCTATTTCATTTGTTTGAGTGTTGTTCATATATCCTATTCTAAGCTCTGTGAAAGTAGTTGCCATCTATCCTATTATTATTCTATTATTCATTAACTTATTGAGTTATTACTCTTTGCAGGCAGTGTGCTAAGAACTGTGCATGCATTATGGCATATGATTTTCATGGCAATCTGATTATTACAGCAATGTAACAGTTGATAAAACTGAGACATGGAAAGTGTTGATGACTCATTCAAGGTCACATCAATATAAGTGGTAAAATGTGGATATGAGCCCAGGGTCATCAATTATAAAACTTGTACTTTTCACTACTGTGTAGAAAAGAATTAAGATATCAGGTATGGGGCTGCCATTCTTAGAAAGGATTGCTGGTAAGGCTGGGTCTCGGCTGGCACCTGAGAACTTGCGATTTCAGAAGTGTGTTTCCACCACTCCCTAACTGGTAAGAGTGGCTCACTGTGCCCAAACTTTCACAATGCGGTTTATGCTGAACACCTGCCTTGCTTCCCAGAGCATGGAATTTTAGGACATGCAAGACAGAGAATGCCTGTATGACCAGCAACCCAACAGAAACCTTAAGCACACAGTCTCTACTGAGCTTCCCAGTAGGCAACACTTCACCTACGTTTTCACAACTAGTTGCTGAATTAAGCCCATCCTTTTCGTGGTGACTGTTGGGAGAGGACACTTGGCAAGTTTGCATCTGGTTTCTCCTGTACTTTTATCCATGTGCTTTTCCTAGGCTTGACTGTTTTGCATCCTTTCATTGTAATAAATCAGCATGAAAAAGACATTGTTAAGTCCTATGAATCTTTCCAGTGAATCACGAAACCTGAAAGTGGTCTTGGGGATTCTGAATACAATTACTGTAGTATATCTCTTCTAATTTAGAGTTTTGCATATAGTTATAAGCAAATGATTTTTTTTGTGAAGTATCTTAAAAATATATGACCTAGACCTATGTATATGTGAACTGGTCTATTCTTTTGTATATTGTTACCGTGTTCTGTAAACATGAACTCATAGTGCTTGTTTTTATTTCTTTTGTATATGGCATGAGCACATGACAAATACTGTGAGAAAATTCAAAGAATATGTTATGTAATGAACATTTCATAAAATATATTTGATCAATCTAAAACCATGAATTGGAATTGACTATCAATTTGAGCTATATAAAAATTTTATGCATAGTGTAAACACTAACAGAAGAAATGATAAACTGCTATAATTTATTTTTCATTTGCTTTATTTCAAATTTGTATATATGATATCCTGTCAAATCAAATGATAAAAAGCAC